GTTGGAAAATTAGCGTGATATTCTACTGGAGTCGTATAGCTCACTAATTATTTAACTTATTTTAGATCAAGAGGATCAAGATCCAAAACCTGATCTACAAGAGAATTACGAGTAGGATGTTAATTTTATTTACTTTCCGCTTATTTCCTTTTTTTTTTGTACTTCTTTTAAAAAATTAATTCCCGTAATAATATTCGATATTTTAAATTATTATATAAAAAATGTAAACTTTAACTTTTTATTATATTTATGCACTTAAATTATTATTTATTTTTTTAAATATTTCTGAAGACATTACAGTAATACAAAAATTAATAAAATAAAATTTTATTCAAATATGCTAACTTCTTGTATAACCCAACAAATAAAGAAATATAATTTAAAGTTTAACAACCATTTCATTTCATTATTACATTGATAATTACATGAAAAACATCATAGTGCCACTAGTAGTAAATTGTATATGTTGTAATTTTTTTAAATAAGGTAAAAAATATGGCTGTTAAAATTTAAATTTTATTTTCTTATAAATTTTGCTAAAAACAAATCATTAAAATCAGACAACTAAATTTATAGAAAAAAAAAATTAAAAGAGTATAGACCACTATAATTAGAAATTAATTAATTTAATATCTGCTACTCAAAAAAAGTCGCTTCTGATTAATCTCTCCGCCGCCATTATCTCGCCACTGAACTCTCTACAGAAATCTTCCAACGGAGGATACACCCACCTTTCCTCTTCCTCAATCATTATCAACTCTCCTAACTCGTAGCTCCCGTCTATATTTGGCAACTGAACGATCTCCTCCAGTTCTTCCGATTCCGAGTCATTAGAAGAAGAAGAAGAAGAAGAAGGCAGCGTGTTGAATTCCGCCATGGCAGCTGCTTGAGCAGCAGCAGCTTGGATGTCTCGCGGCATTAACGAGACGGGTCTGGGAAATAGATTAACGAGGCGAGGAAAGTTGAAAATGGCGGATTCACCTTTGATACAGAGAGCAGCGACGTCGTGAGCTCGAGCAGCCATTTCGGGAGTAGGGAAAGTTCCGAGCCATATGCGGGATTTCTTGCGGGGCTGACGGATTTCAGATACCCATTTCCCCCAACTCCTCATGCGAACTCCTCTGTAAACTGGGTGTTTTCTGGAACGATGATGGCGGGGTAGTTTGGGTTCGTCGGAGAGTTTGGGAAGTGGGTTTGAAGATGGTGATGGTGGAGAGGGAGACATGGAGGAGTTGCAGGTGGCGGTTTCAGGTTCTATGGAGATTTGAAGTGGGCTTTGGTCATGAGATGGTTGTAATGAAGATGGTGATGGTGGAGAAGAAGACATGGAGGAGTTGCAAGTGGGCGTTTCAGGTTTTATGGAGATTTGAATTGTATGGTTTTTTTTTTCATTGGTGAGTAAAGTGAAGATGATTTTCATGGATGGAATTTGAGAATAACAGAGGGATTTATAGAGAAGTTAGAGAAAATGACAAGATATGAAGAGGAAGAAGAATAAGAAGGTAGTTTGTTTTCTGATTTGTCAATGAATAACACGCTCCTTTATAGTGACCCCTCAACCTAACATATATATGTGTATATATATATATATATATTTGGATTGTCTCAAAATTTTCATGGAAAAAAACAAATAAATGAAGTAAATAAATAATAAAAAAAAAATATAGAGCATAATGAGAGAATTATAGTCTCAACTCCTTTGTGCTAATTCTCAACAACCCACCTTTGATCCTGAGGAAAAAAAGAAATACATATCTATATATATATATATATATATATATAAAAAAGCTAAATAGAAGAGAAAATAGAAATGTGGGACCCAGTGGAGAATGGGTAAGAGATGAGAAGTGGGTCCTACAATTTGTAAAACGGGGGCAACGTTCTGATTTTTTTCTTTTGTTTTTATGTGAACAACGTTCTGATTCAAAAAAAAAATCCCACATATATCCAATTAAGAATAACATTTTTAGCTAAATGTTCTGTGACGTTTCCCACCCAAGAGTTAAATACATCATAATCCTGCATACTCCTGAAATATAATAATATTAAATGTAATAAATAATAATAATGACTCTGAAAACAGTTTAAAATTCAAAATAATTCTGAAATATTATTATCTTATGATAAATAAAAATAAAATAAAATAAAATAAAACAATTTAACACATATTCGTATTGATTTACAAATGGAGTACTAAAAATAGATTTTTATGTATTTTATTTGACACATTGTAAATAAAGCTTCTCTTAGAATATTATTCACACGCGTTTGGCGCATGTATATATCAATATATATATGTTCAAAATTTAAATATTTATAAAAATAATTGTACACTTCATTTAATTCGATCATTAAAAAGTATTGTTAGACATTAATTTTGTTTAGTAGATTGGTTCGATCAATTTGTTATCAGTTTAGTATTAAATTTATGAGATCGTATACTAACGAATGTTCTAATTTTTGTTAAATAAATAAATTATTTTAATTATTTAATAATTAAATTAAAGAATTTAATCAAATAAATAAAATTTTTAATTTAAATAAAATATTGTTGTATTTTTTTATTATAAATAATATAATTAATAGTGGAGATAAATTGAATTTTTTTATTTAAAAATAAATATTTAATACTTATATTTTTTAATTATTATATTATTAACATAATAATT